TCTCAACGTGGGAACTGAGTTCACTGAATACCAATGTCAGAGTGTGTATGACTACCTAGCACTCTAGAATTACTGACTACTTAGCAGAAATGAATTAAGTGCAATAGTTAGGGGGCCGGGACTTTAGTAAACCGCCCGGGTAGAGTAGACTAGAAAAGGGACAACAGAGGGAAAGGCACCGACACACAAGTGTGTCGAGTACCATTCCCCTCTGTTACCCTAATGAGCCGGGGGGGGAAAAGGGGTTGGGGTGTTTGGGGTAGTGAACACGTCGGGTTCATTCTCCGTTGACCCGGCAGTTTGGATATCCGTGGAGCCCGGCGGCGTAGGTTTTTGGGAATACAGTGGCGAAACAAAAGTCCGTTAAGATAATCCAACGAGTGCAGAACTCGGCAAAGTCTGTTAATGGTAGTCCGGAGTGAAATCAGCGCCCCAGTGACGGGGATCACACCCTGCACCCAAGTGGGACGGCAGAGCGGCACACACTCTGAAATTGGGCTTGAGTTAACTCAATTCCCAGGTCGAAAATGGTGAGGGAACAGCATGGCGAGACAGTCAGGTGACTTGAAAGGTTGAACAATCGTTTCACTCAGCGACACTTCAGCGGCGATGCGGCTGCAAGTCAGCGGTGGGAGAAAGGTTTAGGGGTCTATCATGCAAGGACAATAAAAGCAAACCAGAGGAAAATTGGTGTCACAGCTTGCAATCAAGGCAGGTACGCTGGGATGATCAGTCCCAGTATCACCAGGAAATCGAGAGTGTCTTCGTTGGTGGCAGACTCTCGTTCCTGCTGCCACCCCCTGCGATACGGATCGAATAGAAACTCTTTGGAACAGAGTGTGACACAGACACACACACACACACACATTCATGTCTTCACAAGCTCCACACCTTGGTTTTGTAGGGGGAGTTTGCACAAGGAATTTCCTTGGCCAGGTCCAAACCCTCGCCTTCAGCTGGACTCAGTTCTGTTTCGCCCAATCTTTTCCTTCGATCTCCCAAAGGATAGTTGGGCAGCTGTCCCATGGCGTCTGAATTACCCTCATTGGGGATGGACGATGAAGGATTTCTAAGTGTCAAGCCTTCATGTCTAATATCCAAGTCCCTGTCCTCTTTGGGGAAGCGATTTCGTGATGATTCCAATGCATTGCTTTGATCATCCTCCGTACAAGAAAATGCTTTGGAGATGCAATTGTTCTGATGAGGAGGGAGCACATTCGGAGCCCGAGGGGCGACCGCAGCTCCTTCCATGTTCTTCCCCAGCTCAACAGGGAGCGGCCACAGGAGTTTCCGATTCACGTGCTACACCCAGAAAGATAACGGTCCAGACTGGAAGACTCTCTTTTCCTCGGTCGCTGCACCAGTCTTTTTTTTTCAGGTTTGCACTAGTGAGTCTCTCGCAGTTGATGCGACCCAGCCGACCCCTCGGACAGAGGCGATCACATCACTCGGTGCGTGCATACGCGCAAGCAGAACAGGGGAAGCAATCTGTAGTCAGCTCCCAAATTTCTGTCGTCAGCTCTACAAAAAACCATGTGAGGCCTCCTAACCTCACATTTTTTAAGACAACTACCCGATCCAGTTTCTTTCTGTGCTTGCGGGCCCTTTTGCCACCACATCAGAAGCACGGTTTGGGCTTCGCCCAGACAGTGCGCTTACCCAGACCGTGCGGTTGCAGCTTGAGGTTTCACAACACTTGCAGCAGATGCGCATGTTCCTGGCCACAGCCTCAGACGACAGACGACCCGACGACGGGTCGAGAACCCATGTCTTTTGGGCTGACGAGCGTGTTGGCTGAGCACCCTGAGGAGCGGAGCCACGACATTTGTTTTTAATTGGTGGTCTACCAAGTGCAAAACCGTGCCAAATGAATCCAAATGATCCATAAGCTATCCGATAGTGGATCCCTGGTGTATGAAATGACTGGGAGTTCAGTCTGGGAAGATTGCTGGGTATGAGCACTTTTTTTCTTTTCGCCTGAAGCTGGAAGCTTCACGCCGCCACGTTGCGGATGACCTGGAGTTCTCGGACGTCGCGGCTCCCAGCCTGACGACATCCAGACGCCGTGGACGGGGCGCCCATGCGACATCGCAGCCAAGACGCAGGTACTTCCTTTGTGAGAAAGGCCCAGGCCCTTGGTCCAGGTCGGTTGTACCTTTGTGGTGCTTACCACGTACGTCCCCAACTTGGTAGATACTCATGCGTTCTCGGTTTGTGGGAGGTCTACAGTGGTGAATCTGGGATGAAGTGGAACCCACACCTGAATTGACTTGCGTGACAAATAACATATGCCCCAGCTTTCCCCAGACTTTTGCAGCGGTGAACGTGGGTCATGATTCCACAGCTGGTGGAAGACCACATCTTCCTGGAAAGGGGATCACTTAATCTACTACCTGGGCATCGAAAGACTATCTACTTGTTGGATCCTCACTTGATTATATATTAACTTTGTTATCCTTGCCCCAAGAAGCTTAACTTAGGTTGTAACCCTTGCAAGTTTGGGGTGCAAAGATCACCGTAGGTGTTACAAGACAGACAAGTCTGTACGCAACTCGTATTACAATGTATTACATATTTAATAACCGATGTAAACGACCAGCACACTTGGCATTCTCCACTGGTCTTCTACACTGTCATACCTTTTGGATCTTCTCCCTGACCAGGGGGTTTCACCCTGACTGCGCTCGTCTATACCTCCTCAGGAGAAGACACTCCGTGCTTCGGGAGTCTCCTCCTGTGACTGGACAGACATTTGGGATCCGAGCTGCGGGCGACAGATCTCGGGTTGGCGACACGGTCAAATTTTCCGAATTCTACTGTGGAGGATGCAGCCCAAATTTCCAAGGAACATGTTTTTCCTTTTTTATTCTGTGCATTTGCAAGGTGATTTAATTGTATAGAGTTTTTGTGGAGCTGCGTATATCTTGCCTCCTGAGCTTTCCCACGCTCTAAGAATTGGAGAGAAAGTGGTTTTCACTCATGCAGAACTCCCACGACCAGTCGACCAGTGTTCTGCATTTTTCAACCTTCACGGTCCAGACCTGACACCTCCGCGCGCCGGTCACCCAAACGAATTCATTCGACCCGGGATCGCACTCGAGGCGTCGACCTCATGGGCGTCACGCCCGGCAGCATGTCGGAGCCCAGGATGATGGGAAAAGCCCGGGGAGGCCCTTGGAGTGTAGCAAAAGAATGTAAACTAGGGAAGACCTGGCGACGCCAATGGAGTTTTACTCTAACTTACCCTGCAACCAATGAGGTGTAGTACATGTCTATACTTGTTGATCTTTTTCAATAACCTGTTTGCAGAAGTCTCTGGGCAGGTCTCGCTATTCTAGTACGCATGTTGGCGAAGCCCAAAACCAGTAGCTAAATCCGGAAAGAGCTTTGGAGGTCATTCGTGTGGGGCACCTGTAGGACCCCACAGGAAATCGATGAATGCCTTCGATGTTCATCGATTTTCTATAGATCCCTGGTCTTGAGGAGGATCAGTTTGGCATGTGGCTCGCTGTGGCGCTGTTTTTCTCTTCTTTGTTTCAATCGAGGGCACCCCAAGGTTGCAGTTGAACCGGTCTGTGAATAAAGGAGATTTGAGCCAGGCAGTTTTCTTTTGCGAGAGCTTCTGCTGCCCAGACGGGCGAAGCAGATGCCTTCTTGGTGACAGTCACTGCTTGCTGACGGGAGGGTCTCTTGCGTTCGTGTTTCAAATGATCGGATGGCCCAATGGCTGGTTGAACGACCGCCGCTTAAGCGGCCGCTCCGAACTCGACTCGACCAACAGACATGATTTCGCTCGGCAAACTGGTGACATCTGGTGACTGGTTGTTCTTGGAAGACCCATCCCAGGTGTCACACCGGCCGGCACGGTCTCACATGTCACACCGGCCGGCATATGGTTTTTCCCGTAAAACACCACCGGTCTAGAAATGTCCGAGAGAAGTGATTCGCGACTCAGTCTTCTGAGAGCATCGCGTAGGAGTCTCCCTACCCACCAAGGAAGCTTCTAGTTACTAGAAAGCTTTATTGTTACTAGTAGCGATGGCCTCCAACCTACTAGTAGCTTCTACACCCCTTTTTTCCTCAAACATCCCAAACCCGTGGTGCGCCTCCCCAGCCCCAACGCAGCATCCCCAGCCCCATCCATCGCCGATCACAACAAGCCTCGCCGGGACTTCCTTCGCCCAGTGTGCTGGAGCGGGAGAGCTTTATTCACATGGTCCGGGCACTTGGAACCGCCACGAGAACAGCCAGCCTTCCACCACGCCATGGTGCGTCCGATTCCACGCCCGGTCCGCGGTGGTGGGCATGGTGACCGTCCATCCAGGAGCCGATCTACGGGGATTCGACGGGCTTTGGTAGAGGACGAAAGCCATATGGGTTGGGGAGGCCCTAAGTCTAGAAAGATCAGAGGGGACCTTGGAACATGTAGCTTATACATGTTCCCTAGGTTTTGAGCGGTGGGGTTGGGGGGGTTGGGAAAATGTAGCTTACATTTTGGGAGGTCCTTTGTTTTTACAATATTGACAGCATTTTTTTAAAGAAAAGTTGCATTTTTGTGGGTCCCTAAATCTTTGACTATGCTGTGACATGGTTTTCGATTGTGCACGGATGTGATAACCCCCTCAAAATTCCAAAGGCAAGGCCAGCTTTTGGGAAGCTTGTCCATGCAAGGCCCATACGGTTAAAAGATAACTGAGAAGGAAGGAAGACAAAGTAAACAAAAGAAATAAACCAGAAGCAAGGCGCAGTACAGTAAATGATTCGATCGAGGAGGTGGCTTGGTCAGGAACCGGGTGGCCTAGGGCCCCAATGGTATCTATAGGAAAGGAAGAAATAAAGAGCAGAAAAGAGAGAAAGGTCTAGGATCCTTCGTCCACTGGTTTCAGTGGTTTTCAGGTTCCATGTGGGTCTCTTCCAGAGTGGATGTGACAGGGGTACCCCGACTTCCGTTCGTGACCGGTGTCGGTCATGCGGTGTGATCGCCAGATGCTCGGAGCTGATGTCGAATCTGGGACCCTTTGCCACCCTCTGAAACTCGGAGGCTGCCCCAGCGTTTTTTGCGTCGTTGTGAGGTCCTTCGGAACGAGCGCATCCTTGGGGATGTCAGCGCTTGTCGGGGTGCTCGGCTTGGCGCAAGAGGATTTGGAGGTGAGCCAAATGTGTAGCCAGAGGGACCTGCCACACATGGCAAAACCCTCTGGCCAGTGGAATTTGGGTTGCTGGTGTGATCGTTTTGTGGCAATTTGTACGTCTCTTCCACGTGTCGGACCATGGAACTACACCCAGTACGAGTTTCAGTACGCGAGGGAAATAGACCTAGGATCATCCCAGACCAACTGACTGGCTGACTGACTGGTATAACGAATTCGTACCTTCAATCCTCGACCCCCGAGATGCCACCACCTAGGATCATCCAGGATCATCGCAAACCAGGATCCAGATCCAGATAGAAGGTGCATGGAAGGACCATGGAACTACATCCAGTATCCAGAAGTCGGGCACTTCAGCGCCCAGGTGGCGGAGGTGGCGCCTCTCCGCGCTCGGCGCGCTCGGCGCAGTCCGCCTGCCAGGCAGGGCCGGGTTGCAATCGATGGAACAGGATATTTTGGATATATATACCATGATATAACTACAGATTTAAAGGGTACGGTATGGTATGTCTGAATATGTCAAAGGGGTGTCGAATTCTTAAGAACCCCGAAGAGTTTGGCCGGGTGTGTCTGAATGTGTCAAAGGGGTGTCGAATTCTTAAGAACCCCGAAGAGTTAGGCTCAGGTGTTTTGACCTGGCCAAACACGTGGCCATCCCGAGCATGGTAAGTCCTGCCTTAGCTTCTTCAACCCGATTCGATGTCCTGGCTGTTTTGGTCACTTAGGCCAGAAGGTCACTTGGAAGAAGCATGTGTTGTATTGAGCTGGTGATAGACAACGCCTTAAAATGGAGACCTCAAAATCTGCTACAGCTGGCTACACATTTGATGAACCATGTTTCGGGGTGATTTAGAGCTAGGACAGCTAGGGGTCTTTAAGGGGTTGGAGCTGAAAAACATCTAAAAACATATTAAACTATGTTATGTTGATTCTTTTTTTTCGCTCCCCCCGGCCGCAGGGCATCTCTGCCAGCTTCGCGAGCGGAAGCCGCGGCCGGGACGGGACGTGGAGGGTGGGGAGACGTGTTCGAAGAGTTGAAGAACAGTTGGGCAACAACATGAAACAGACATGCTAACCTACAGACATGGTACTTGGGATGGTGAAAAAGACAGGTACACTTGGGATGGTGAAAACAAAGACATGGTATGTTGGGACTGTTCTGGGCGCCTTTTTCTTGTTCGGAGTTCGCATGTCTACCTGCACCAAGAAGTATTGCTGTCCAGTCTCTAGAGGCTGGAGGAGCCAACGGCAAACCGAAAAACGGTGTGGATGTCCGTCCCTTTCATTACGGACCTCCAAAGACTGCTGAAGGGTCATGTCCGACTTTCCGACAGGTTCTTTTTGTGGTTTGCCCCATTGCTTCAAGCGGTGCCGAAGCAAAACCACTTGTCAAGACGTTATTCAGAAGTCGCATCATGGCTATAATGTTCTCAAGGTTCCGTGGAGGCACTGGCACTTTCCGCACGACGGCTGATCTTGATTTCTCCAAAGGAATTCCTTCTACGAAGTGCACCCCTGCTTTGTCGATGATGATTCGACCTGATTTAAGGGGTATGTCACGAACCGATGCTTCTAAGCCAAAGTTGAAGAACTACAAGGAAGGTGGCCCTCCTCCTGCAGATGCTGATGAGCATTTCGGATGGGAGCCAGTCCCATGTCCTCAGACATTTGGACTTCTTCTACTTCTTTCCATCCTTTGATGGCAAGCTCTCTTGAACCGAGGCATGGTTGCGGGAAGCCATGAAGAAGAGCACAACATCAGACAAAAAAGGCAACATGCACAGCATTCCTTGTCAAGATTGGGATGGGTGAGCTGCTCCGTCTGCATCAATGTTCTTGCACATCCTGTGGTCCAATCAATCATGGTTTGTTCGTTTGGCGTTCAAGGGAATGGGTTGCGCCATCTGCAGGTGGTGGTTCAAAAGGTGTGTTTTTGCGACCTGGTGCGTGTCAATGGTCGTTCTGCGTATGTCTCCAACTTATGAGACCTGGCAGAGAGCTGGCGATGGTTTGCCAGGCACGCCCACGCAAATCTGCATTGCTCGGCGCGTGCTGGACAAGACAAATTCATGGTGAGGAGAGACCCCGCCAACAGAGACATGCTCACGCCAACTGAGCTGAGTTACGATGTACACAAGAAGTCCACTGGGAGCTAAAGCTGGCAGCGCTGCAAAGGCACAAGGCACTTGAAGGCAGGGTCGCCGAAAAGAACTCTCAAGGGCTGACAGCAGAACACTCAAAGATCAAAAAAGACACCCTCTGCCCCTGAGCTGAAAGGACGTGGGTTGTGCCGACACTGGGCGGTCGACTTACGACTCCGCCTACAACCTACTCACGGAGGCAAAACCCCTAGAAATCGTAGGGACGTAGGAGAGATGCTGCGTGTAGGCGAGTGCTTGGTCCCGAAGGGCCACGTGTGGGCCGAGGGTGCCAGAACGGATGACGATGTCTGCGCGGGCAACCACCTGTTTTGTGGCATAGAGTGGCGTTCTTCTTGGCTCATAGAGGCACACAGTGGACCCGGCAGAAGGTTCCCCAACGGCAGAAGATGCTTCTGAAAACAACCAAGCAGGCCACGGCCACACCAAATTCAAATCCATGTGGGTCCACTCACTCACTATCACGCACCAATTACTTCTGAACTACGAGGCATCCCAGCATTTTATGGTAAGTATAGTTCAGTGGTTCAGAGTTGAAAGCATTCTTCTACACTATTTGAGGCAAACGTGCGAGAGGAGAGACGAGCAGCATTTCAGTGCACCCCATGGGGTTGCAGATGCCATGATTGTCGGCAGGGCCTTGTATGAGAAGCATGGGAGGACCGACACCATGGGAGGACCGACACCCACCAACCCCCAACCTCGACGACAGTGAACCGGCTAAGAAAGAAGAGCTGTACAAGTCTAAGCCGCTCACCGTGCCGTGATCAGCTCACCGTGCCGGTTCTCGGAGCACTGATAGCAGCCGACGGACCGGGTGGGTCTACCGGGCTAGAGGTTTTGACCGCCTGGATGCTTTGTTTGCAGCAGACGTCTTCTTTGACGGACTTCACCTCCAGGCATGGGCACCATGAAGCAAAATCCTGGTGGAAAAGGAAGCTTTCAGTGAGCCTGAATGAGCTCTTGCAGTACATGATCTTCTTTCACCGGTTCCCCCGAGCCATGATCTACGTGTAGTGTTGGTCGGAGTGCGGCAGGTGTGGAAGGAGCTGCCCCAGTGGCTTCTCCTCACCACAAAATTCGCAGGACCCGGACGACGGGCTGCCTCGCCTGATGCCCTTTTTAGGTAGATCAAAGTTGATGAAAGGGTTCGCAGATGCTTTTCGTAGGGAATTCAACCGCATGATCGAGGCTTCCAATGAGCGGAAAGCTTAGCTCGAGACCATCCCTGACGACACGGCTCAGTCGCTGGAAGCCATGCAAGTCATGTGCTGCGGGGCTCTCATCCGGCCGGGCTTGTACTTTTGTCGCAGGCCCCCGCGAGGAGGACCACATGGACCTGAGGTGGAAGACGAAGCCTCTGGGTCCGATGTTGATCATTGTCACACATAATGTTTCAGCATGTTTCAGCCCCAGCGTGCGAGGGAGGGAAGGCTCTTCTTTAGGGCTTCATTCCCTGAACCGAGCCTGCAGCTTCGAGACAGCTCCGGTATGCGGCAGCGCTAAATTGTAAAAGGCATCGGTTGCAGAATTCCTTCAGCCCTTTCAACACCTGAACGCAAGTAGGCGTATTCCTAAAGCCCACCCTGACGCTCTGAGCCGATGATTTGGTGCCCGAGGCCACTAGTTTACAACCGCATCAGGTTTGGCCGCAAAGTAACAAATCCAGCCATCTGGGGAAACATTGTTAAGACTTCACACATACTTCATATCGTTCTCCACTGGTCTTCGAAGGTGCAAAACATGAAAAACCAAACTTGTCCACATCTACAAACCTCTAGCTTCACAAATCTCGGTTCCCTTGCTTCAGCTACAGTCTATAAGTGATAACATAGTTAAGCACACGAATGAAATAATAGATAGAACGTACAACTGGAACATGCACATTTATCAGTTGTATTTAAAAAACCATGTTTGATTTGGTATTTTAACAATACACCCCTTAACCTATATTCAAGGGAATTGTCAACTGATACGTATTGATACCGGTGGGATGGGAAGTTGGTTCCCTTGTATTTTGGAACCTGTCGTGGTCGTGGAGTAGCCTGACCACGCTTCGCTGGCTGTCGAGAGTCGTGCAAAATCCAAAAATACATACAACATCTAGAAATACGAAAAATGCAGCCACAAAACCATAAATTTGCAACAATACATTGCAGCACTAAAATTCCAAATTGTTCGTGTTTCTGACGTGTGTATGAGGCACTTGCTGATTCTGCGGCCGGATTGCCTTTGCTTTTGTTTTGCCACAACACCAAAAACAGCAAATATCAGGAAACATACACTCTTTAAGACACACAAGAAGCGGATAACATGAATCAAACAACAATTACCTTGGTGGGCACTATTTGGATTGTGGCCCTCATGTGAGTATGTTGTTTGGGAACCATTACTAGTTGGGACGTAGAACCATGGAAAACACAACATGTATTTCAGAGTTGTTTTTGTATTTTCACTGCATGTTTCCTTCTCCACTTGATGAAACAAGTCTGAACATTTTCACAGCTCCATGCCTTCACAGTCCACAGCTCCAGCTCGGACCTGGGCGAATCGCGAAAACACAAGGTGGCAAAGGCGCTGATCAGCTGGGCGCTTCGCTGGAGCTGAGGGCCTTTGGCGAGTTCTTAGGCCAGTTGGCGACGCTTCCGCGTGGTGGGAACACCACGTGTGCGCCGCTTCGAAGGTGTGGAGGTGTGGAGGTGGTGGAACGGTGTGGAGGTGTTTTTGGATTGAAAGGGGTGTGAGAAAGGTTGTTTGTTCCGTTTGGGGAGGCTTTTACGAGTCTAAATGCAGCCTGGCTGGGGCCAGGGTTGTGGCTGAAGGGAAGTGAGGCGAGGAGGGAGTGTTTCTTTGTGCCTTAGGGACACTTTGGGAATCAACAAATTAGGTTTAAACAATGGGTTTGATTGGCGGTTATAGTGGGGAATGAGGGAATGAATCTTCACCTATGGATCCAGTAGAATTTACGGTAATTGAGCCAGCCTGGGTAAGCTGGCATTCATCTACTCATTTCTCCCGCACTTGGGCCATGCCAGGTGCTCGCTTCCCGTCGTTGCGGGCAGCAATGTCTGCCATGGACCGTGGGTGGACATTGGAGGGGTCAGTGTGGATAACTACAGCTCTTCAGAGGTTGGAATCTTGGTCTTTAACATTCGTAGGGTGACCCTTTCAATGTGTTATGTCGCACTGACATGCTCTTTTGGAAGGTCTCGGGAGGCAAGAGCGACTTCAACTTTGAGATGCAAGATGCAAGTTTATGATTTAGCAGTTGTTTGGTTGGATATCATTTTGCTTCAACACTTCAAAATTAATTACCATGGGAGTGAGCACCACCAGCAAAAGCATATTTCACTTGCGGGAAACGGAGCAGACTTGCTTGGTAGCGCGAATCATACGAAGTCATGCTATGACAGAAGTTGCTTGTTGCGTCGCATTTGGCTCGGGCTGTCCAGGCCAGCTACTGAACCTTCATATGATGATGACACGTTCGTGCACTGAGATGATATGGATATAGAGCTTTACAATGTTTGCCGAGACTTTCGCCGGTTCACGTGGGCCCTTGACAAAGGGCCTGACTGCCGACATTTTTTCTCAAAGGAAAGTGGCTTTTGATGCGACGACATGGCAAATTTTGCTTTTCCTTCTCTTGCTTTTCCTGGCTCACGAGCTCTATGCTTGGGGCAAGAAGCCTCTTCTTGCTGACAACCAGAAGGCCAACACCTTTCCATTTCAGTGCGCGTTGTTGTTTTTTTGGTTTTATTGGTATGTGAATCAATCCCTCGTGCTGCCGGTCACCTTGGACTTTGCTGCAAGCATGGGCCAAAGTGCCACAATGTCTGGCTTCTTCGTCAGCAGTCCGTTGGCAACCTCCATTGCAGGGTTGCAAGTGGGCAAGATGATCATTGGGGAGAACGCCTGGGACCAGGCAAGTGCCAGAAGACTAATCATTTGGGCACCATTGGTGTCCGTCATGCTGACGGCAATCGAGGCTGCTGTCTCAAACTCGGTAGTCCACTTTGATTTGCCAGCAAAACGAGCAAGCTTTTGGGTGATTCTTGCTTTGTCCAACCTAGCAGCATTTATTGTGGCACTTCCCTACGTGCCCTTGATGGTCACCAAGTCTTGAATGGTATATATATGTAATATTTTGGTTGCTGTTCGCCAAGAAATTGGTCATATGGTATTGTCAAGTGCGTTTTATCTTTAGACATCAGTGTTCTTATGGCCACAGCAGATCAAGGTGATGTGGGCCAAGTTTACTCCGAAGCGCGAAATGACTTTTTGGATGATCATGGCCCAGTGTAGCAGGCAAAGTGGCTTTCTGGTTGGTCCTGCTGTATTCGCGCTTCTGAGTCAGTTGGTAGGACGCGGGAAGCCAATCGCCCCGGCTTCTGCGCTGGCTTGGGTACTGGTTGCCCAGGTTATCATTGGCTGGCTTCAGCTTGCCTAGCAACTTTTTGCTTCACAGTCTTGTATGCTGTCTCGTTCCCCAGCTGGTTCACAGTACCTCAGACTTCTTTTTTTCAGCTTTGAAACGGAAACAACAAAAACCTTGCAGGATATTGCTCTGTCATGCTGCATTCGATGGCGTTGCCCGCCCAGCTGCCTGACGACGTGGAGCGTATGGAGGAAGACAGCTCCCCTGGATCGCTGGATGGGGTAGAAGATTCTGTGGACAGTTTGGACATCCTGGAGCGTGAGCAGGTCAGGATAAGCGATGTGATAACCTTATCCAAGTGATCCGAAATGTAACATGATCACTTGCGATTCAGACAAGCCAACTCTGCCCCTGATCAGGTGGTGGCAAGTATGATTTGGTATTCTTTCGAGCGGTCGTTTGTCACCGCTGCGATTGAAGTGAGCACCATCATGCTCTTGGAGGTATCTTATGGTTGGCCTTCGGAGCGATGTGGTCTTGTATTTACGGTGGTTTCCTCCACCAGTTTACTCTTGACCTGGCTGTCCAGCATGGTGATGTCCCGGAATTCCGTGCCAGAGTCGACCGTCGGGAGTCCCGGTCATCCAACTGTAGCATGTTTGGAAGCGGAAAGAACATGCTACATTCGATATGATTCGATGGTCAAAAGTAAGACCACTCAACTTCTCCAACTGAATGCGCACTGGTTGGTTAGATTTGGTTAGATTTCATGAGCTGCCTCCGAAACAAAGGTCTTCATGGTGTGCAAGTTGACCTCGTTGGTGGGTGTGATCTTCCTTTTTGATTTTGGCATAGGCCCAGCCGGGCTATTGCTTGCAGACTCGCTGGTTTACGGTTGTGCCAGTGTGTCCAACGGCATTGCACAGGGCTGGGGCAGCAAGGCGGCTGTACCAAACACCACCTTTAGTATTGAAGTTTACCGACGCACGGCTATGTGAAAATTGGATCAATCTTGTGATTGCTTGGCAAGTTTTTTTTCTTGGAGGGAGAGGACATGAGAAGCTTTAATCAACCGAGGAACTTACGTCATGTCCTTGGAGTGTGCTGCACACTTTCTTGCCCCTGTGGTGGCACGAAGCATCTTGGATTTTGGTGGCCAGAACATCTATGCCTTGGTGCAATTGTGTATGACAGCTTTGAGCACCGCAACGGTGTACAAGGCTGTGAAAATGGTGTGGGCGCTTCAAGGTCTCTCTGATCCCAAAAATGGGAAAGAAGTGTAAGACGCATAGCGTCCAATAGAGTGCAGAATCACATGGAAAGCCGCTTTGGTATTGCCTTTTTGGTGAATAGAACGTGAGTCGTTTTGGCTGAAGGGAGCCCGGAGACGCTGCAAAACTGAGCCCGGAGGCGCGTTTTTGGTCGAACACCTGAAAAATCATGTTGTACTTTCTGCACAAGTCGTCATCTCTAGCATAAGTCAATCAATACATAGAACAATATAGCATGTCAAAAAGCCATCTAGAAACACTTGGAGGAACCAAGGCTGCCCTGATGTCTTTCTCCGCTGCCCGAGAACCGGCGACGTACAGGACCTCACGGGCACAGGCCGCGTCGCCTGCTTCGAGTTGGAATCGTTGGGGCTCCCGGAACGGTCATGGTCGATCGTCCGGAACGGTCATGGTCGTTGGTTCCATCGTCTGGAGAGAAGAATGCACCCGGTTCCAAGTCATCTGGTGCATCTGGGATTGGCTCTTATCTAGGGCTCTCTCATGCCCAGATGTCAGGATCTTTGTGTCAGGATCTCACATTAGTGAGATGGCTCCAAGTCATCTCTCTCATCCATAGTGTCAGGATCTCACATTCGTCATCTGGGGATGGGTCATGGCACCAGGATCCCGTCCGGGCACGACCGACTGGTCGGGCTCCAGGTGGGTCACGACCCATCCCCATTTGTGTTGGGGGACGGCTGGATAGGTCCCATCCTGGTGGATGAGGATGCTCTGATTCGCCAGAAATGGCTCTGATGCACTGATGGACCATATTTTATAATGTTCTATACAAATTGGTTGTCAAGGTCCGACCCACAAAACCTTCCCTTCAGCCGGAGCATTCGCACCTCACGAAGGTACTTCTGAATGCCACGGGAAGTTCAGAGGATTAGTGATCACCCACACCATCTGAAATGATTTGGAGATGGTACAATTCTTTTTAGAACAACCACCAAAAATACCATCTCAGTACAGGTTGTGTTGAGCAACTACCAAGGCAGGTGGGTTTAAAACGAACACCCTCCTACCCCAAATGCCAGTCAATATGCAGAGGGGCACCAGGTACCAGTAGTACGACAGAACGATGACCTGCTGAGTGTTTCCAGGGCTGATGTCCTGTTGAAACCATTCACGGCTGCCGTCGGCGCCGTCCGGACCGGACCCGAGCGGCCGACTGAGGTGGCTGCGCCAGCACATGTACCCCGGCAATGCTCGGATGCTGTTGAAGGCGTGGGGGTGGCACATGGGGTGGACCGCACTGGGGCATTCTGGCAGTCTCATGCGCCAGCATACCCTGGCTGACTGAAAGGTCCACATAGATCACTCTAAAAGAGCTAAACCTGGCGGCAAAGGATTACCAGGAATGCCACAGGTGTGGAGCATCAATAGATTGTTACCACTGAGGTCTTCATCCATGAACCCGTCGTTTTCTGGGTGGGTTCATGTACCGTTTCAGCTGCCTGCTGAAAGGGACCATTCTTTGTACCGTTGCTGGGAAAAAAACCCACGCATCGGTGCTCACCGTTCGTTCTCCGGGTTCTCGCGGGCATCGGTCGGTGGAGGAGAAACCGAGATCGTCGGCATGGCCCGAAGTGAGGGGTAGAAGAAACAGGTTTAATCTATCACAAGCCTTTATTCAAGAAATTGATCTCTGAGGTCTGAGGTCCACAACCACTTCTCCATACCACTCCTCTCGTGATCTTGTCTCCGGTCCAGGATCTTGGCCGAAAGGGCAGCCTAGGCGAGTCCCCGGCGTGCGCGCCCGCACGCGAGACCTGGGCAAAAGCGGTGGTCTTTGGAGGAACTTCCGGTCCCGAAGAGTCAGCTGAGCTGAGGAGCTCCAAAGCGTCAGGAGCTTTATATATCAAGACAGATCTAATGAATGTTTGACTGTTTGACCAAAGGCCATTCTTTTTGGATCTTTACTATGATCCGGTTACAACATTCATCCACCTTTGGGCTGGGACTGGTCAAGCTCCAAGCTTGGAACCTTCGAGCTAGTTGACTGGCCAAATGTGCTTCAAGAAAACCCTGGATGTCCCCCTCCAAAGAAGCGTCTCATACGGCGTTGGGTTGCTCCCATCCAACTGTTCAGAACAGGAGCGAACACCGACACCGGACTTCTTTTTCAGTTGTGTTGCACACTCATGTGGCTCTTCCATGTTCCCTTGTGAATATGCCACTGACCTATCTGTGGACGGATTTCTCCGGTCAGTTGCTGTTTGGCACCGGCCACCGCGGAGAAGCGTTTGGCACCGAGCCACCGATCCTGGGCCGGAACGACCGAAGCTCGTTGAACGGGTAGGGATCGGGATGCGGTTTGGACGGACTGCAGAGATAGACGGACGGAGTCTGCCATGCTGGACTGGGTCAGTGGATGGTGGGGAGCACGGAGCACTCCGTTGGAGGGATTCCTGAGCATTTCAGACCCCAAATAGGCTCTCAAGGTCCTTCAAGGTAACTGCCTTTTTGATGGTGTCTGTCTCTCAACTACTTCTTTCTCCCCACTGAAGCCTTCTTCATTCAGGGGGGAAGCATGGAGGAGAGGAGAGCACACGATTTCTGACCAAGTGCCTTCCCCTTTCTATGTTTCACATCTTATGGATTTATCATTTAGTTTTGGAAGCCCGACTTTCTTTTTTTAAATATAAAATATATATATATATATTATATAGATAGATAGATGATAGATGGATGGATGGATGGATGGATGGATGGATGGATGGATGGATGGATGGATGGATGGATGGATGGATGGATGGATGGATGGATGGATGGATGGATGGATGGATGGATGGAGGGATGGATGGATGGATGGATGGATGGATGGATGGATGGATGGATGGATGGATGGATGGATGGATGGATGGATGGATGGATGGATGGATGGATGGATGGATTGATGGATGGATGGATGGATGGATGGATGGATGGATGGATGGATGGATGGATGGATGGATGGATGGATGGATGGATGGATGGATGGATGGATGGATGGATGGATGGATGGATAGATAGATAGATAGATAGATATATATACAATCACATTTCTTGTTTTTTTCGCATCGTTGCATCGGGAAGCCTTCGCCTTCCCAAAGAGGCATGTCGCAGCTCCGGTTTCTGGCGCCCTCCTTTGTGCGCGCGGGGCAGTGTGGGCGACCGAGCCCGGATGCTCGGTCTTGGTCGGTCTGGGGTGCTCGTCCTCGAGGGTGGGGGTGGAGCGAAGGAAGCCCAGGGGCCCAGAGCCCGGTCAAAGGAAGTGTGGTGACGAACTGTTTGGCACACGTGAAACCTGGCGAAACTGGGCCCAGCAATGAAATCAACGGAATTGTTGATTTTCTTGGACACATTTTGGGAGTAAACTCGTTTGATCTTGATGGGCTGACATGCGGGCACTGGTGTACACCATTGGACACCCCACCTGAAACACCATTGGACACCCCTTCTCTTCTGTTCAGAAGAACACCCAAGCTCCAGAGCGAACAACACCTGTCTTCATCCCAACCTTTCTGCTGCCGGGCTCCGCCTCGCCTGCTCCGCCCGCCTCAGGTGGCGCCACGGCGGCTTCGTTGCTCCGCCGCTTGTGGGGGCAGAGCGACCTGCGGGCGCGGCGCTATCAGCCCTTGGAGGTGGAGAGAGCGGGACCGACCTTTGGGCGGTGAGGAGGGACCGACCTTTGAAGGGCGGGGAGGGGAGTCAGGTTTTGTAGGTGTTTGGTGGTGCTTTTGGACTGCTTGGGGGTGCAATCTCATCAGTCTAAGTGAGGAAGAACAGAAGGAACAAGAACAGATGATGGCAGATCAACTGTAGTGGAACATTCCATTGAATCAACTGCCACTTGTCAATCGAACACTTGGAGGTATATTAGCTATAGGTGTTGAAACTGGGCAAACATGCGCATGTGTCATCAATCAAGTTCCCAGCTTCCAGCTTCAGGATTTGTGGAAACATCCAGGGCACACGATCCATTCCCCTTAGTGACACGGGATTCCCCCTTCGTGGTCGGAAAGCTCCTCCGACTTCTTTGCGTGTGATGTCACGTTGCCTTTCCGTCATCGGGGTTCCCGCCCAGTGCGGACATTTAGAAGTTGAAGAAAACCCAATCAAACTATATATCAATCTGATGGTTCTCACAATCCTAGTCCAACCAACTTGGATTTTTTTTTCGGACCATACCCACTGCTGTCTACCAGGCGCAACAAGCTGCTATTCGATGCTGCCGCTGTGCAGGGACACTTAGAGCCGGACCGACATTGTTGGCAACGTGTTGATTAGATTGCCGACACGTGTCAAAGGAATCAACCAGAATCTTTAGGTGCGCACATACGCCACATGGGAAGATTCAGGTGCGTTTGGTCCACCAGACTGCAGATTCACTGGTTGACCCACCACTCCCTGCAGAACTGGACCAAAACCTGCCACGGTCGGTCGGAACAGTGCAGATCTCCGCGGTCTGGTCGGTCGGTCGGAAGCTCGGAAGCTCGGAATCTCGGCGTCCCCGGCAGTGTTTGTATCTTCAGTTTGGGTGTCAACCAGGATCGGTTTTTGACCAGCAAAGCTAATGCGCAAGAGGCGCTTTCTGTTGAAGGTATGCACGGCAAGATCACATCAAGTGCTGGGTGGTGATCATACTTCGACTTACCAACATGGGAGTGGAATCCTCCCATGTTTGTACTGAACTATGGTGTTACCATGTGGAGTCACGTGGACTCCGAACGAACAAAGGGGGGGGCGGCCTCAGAAGGCAGTCGTCACCTGATCTGACCGTCACTCACAAGGGGTTGATCTGGAAGTCGTCGCCAAGTCGTCGCCTGAGTCCAGGGGAGCCACGAAAGATCCGCATGTCTTCTTCATCCCTGTCTTTTGGGAGGGAACAACATGAGCCCATCCGGCGATCTGAGTGAACAGTAGTGTTCCCATGAGGCTTTGGGATGTTTTGGCGCCCCAATTGGGGTCCAACAAAAGATCGCCAAACGTCAGCCACCTTGGGCGCCTGAGATTTGCTCGTTCTTGAACGCGGCCATCTCCGTCTCCTTGGTCGACGAGCCGCAGGATCTGTCCGGCGGCCTTCGCGCGAGAGAGGGAGAGAGCGGTGGTGTGACGTGGATTGCGGATGTTAAAACACTGGTTAAAGTGAAAGATCTGATTGCGGATGCCGCAAAAGCGTTTTTGTTTGTGGTCTTGAGATATCTTGAGTCTTCAGCGTCGTTTTTGACTTGACAGGTGTGGCTTCAACGGTTTTCAACCTTTTTCTGTTCTTGGGGCCCGGTCAGTTGAAAGTGGCCAGGTTGAGTTTCCCCAGTGGGGCGGAGGGGTTGCGCTGACCCGTCCAGGCTGAATTAGACAACAACAACTCATTGGAGCAAGGGATAGCAAGTTCTCTGGTAGTATGATCTTAAGCTGAAGATGTCAAACCGTTGTGCTATTCTGGTGTTTCAGCAAACACATGCTAAGCTCGCTCAACAGCTCAACTTCTTCTTGCCCTCGCATCTAGGTCTTCATGCCATGTGGGTGTTTTCAGTGACCAGATGACCCACACTGTTGATCATGTTCACCCATTTTCACTGGAAGAACCAGCGCCCAAGAAGTGAATGCTACCATGCAAGACGGTGATGGGATTCCTAGTAGTTCATACTGAGAACATGATCATTTCCATCTTTACCAGCAGAAGTGGCTTCACTCCGTTGGGCTGGGTCTCTGGACCAAGGCACGAGACAGCCAGCGTGGCGGGCACGGGACGCCTGGGTGATCAGGCGGGGCAACGCACTGGGAGCCATGGGGGGAAGTGCCTAGTGGCTGGATGTAGCTGGGGATGGATATGGAGTCTCATGAGGAGTTGTTGGGGTGACGAGCTGCCGGCAGCTAGACCACCTGTGGCATTTTCTGGGAAACAGAAGTGAGAGAGCTTTTCAGGTGGTTTGACCAAACAATCAACCAATCACTTGCATGGTGTCTCTTTTTCGCAGACTCGTTTTAAGGGGTTTCCGACACGACACTGGAACCTCATGCCATTTTGGGCCTAGGTTTCCGAAAAAAACCCAGGGTCTTCCTCTTCTTGAGAGAGGCCACTGTGGGAGTTTCTCGCGTTTTTGAGGGCCGGACCCCGGTGGAGTCGGACCTGCGCCGCCTGGCAGGGCTTGGGCACCTTTCAATCGGTGCTCTCTTCGCGGTCTCGGGGTGAGCGGGAGTCACCCGGACGCAGGGTATGCACGGGGGGGGCGGGCACGGGGCATGGAGTAGAAAGTATAGAAGGGGTTTCTGTTTCAGAGTGCTGAAGCACCCGAGGCAATATATAAATCTTTGTATGATTTTGTATGTGCGTGGAAGAAGATCGTCTTCCACATACTGTGATTGATTGGTCTTTCACGTTCCGAAAGTTTGGAGGGAGGCAGTGACGATTTGCTGAGCCACATGGTCCACCTGTTTCTCGGGCCCGTCGGGGGCCGTCGTGGTTTCCCAGGAGTTGGCATAGCGCGGCGCCCATCGGTTTACAAGGTGTTGATTGGAATTAAAGCGGCCTCGCCCCATTTTGGACATGATCATAATCTGATATGGTTCAAGTTCGAATCCAAATTCACCTCGCCTAATTGGTTTCACTTATGTTCTCACTACCACCCCTGCTTTTATCCTGCCACCCATAACAACAAAAGAGTATTTCACTAGTTCTAGTATATTTACTGTTGGGAGTCCTCCTGATTCCTGTTTTTATCCACACGCAGATCTTCCTTCCACCCCTACATGGAGAATTAGTCAAAGGGATTCTGACTTCAGGTAAACCTAGATACTTGATCTGCTTTGTAAGTGACAAGCTTGAGCAGTATACCCGCTCCATCTTCCGAACCCTTCACTTTGGTCACCCCCGGCTGCTTCGCTGCCTCTCAGCACCGTCCCCCCCGGCTGCTTCGCTGCCTCTCGCTGCTGGCGCCGAGGCCCAGCCTGGCGGAGATCGGTGGCCGCTCGAAGCTGGAGGCGGTGAAAGGCGCCGCCGAGCTCGCGGCCGAGTCGAACGGGGTGTTCCGCTGTTGACGTGAGTGACCGGTGAGACTCCGGGGGAGTTGAGACTGCAAGAGTCGGCCTTCGGGGTTGCGGTGGCCATGGTTTAGCCGAGAAGGCCGAGAAGGTGAACGTCAGGCAAACGTCAGCAATTGGGCGTGGGATGATACCAACCAACCTTCGAAAAACCAGAGGCCCAACTTTTTACATCGCTGGGACCCCAGATAGATCACCAGGCTGGTTTCAGACTCCCTCTGGTGCAATTCGTTGGTGTGAAGAGCTTTTGCAGTGTGAGCGTCTTCGCATCTCAGATAAGGCAGATCCTTCTCTGAGTTCGTTCAAAAAGTTGACCCAAATCCTCTTGCAGGTCCAGATATGGCAACACCAAACACATCAGCTCAACATCCCCGCTCAAAAAAGGATCGTTTGAGATCCCTTTCGGAGACCGCGTCGGTCCTCGCGTCGGTCCTCCGCACCTGCGTCGGTCCGTCTCCAACCACCAGGAGACGTGGACAAGCGTCGCTCGATGATGCACTACAGGCCACCTGAATGACCCACTGACGAGTCACGCAAGGGTGGAGAGGCGAATTACTAATTACGCACGCAATGGACATGAGAGAGTCTATGGACGTGAGAGAGGCTAGGGTCTTCGATGCTTCTTATTTTTTAGGAAGATTCTCCCACAGGTGGTACCTGGTACGGTATGAAAATGGTGAAGAATCTTCACCTGTCTTCCTATGCAAATACATGCATCACCATCTGGTATACCTGGCATACCTGGTACGGTATGACATGGATGAAGATGGTGTCCATGCCATGGATGGTGCCATGGAACCTGGTAGGGAACGGGGTTCCCCCCGTTCCACCCGACAGGAGTTCCGGACCTTAAGGTCCCAGGAGTTCCGACGCCGTGGGAGTCGGTGACCTCCAAAGAGATAGGTTTTGTGTGAAGACCCTGCAGCATCTTCAGCAATAGGAAGGTGTTTCTGCCAACTTAGAGGTGGCGGCATACATGAAGCAGAATTATCAGCTCTAATCATCGATTGCAAGATATTGGAGGGGAATGTCAACATCTCTCCTTGAAGAGCTCCGAAACGTCTTCCCAGGCCCAGCAGTGCTCGCGTGCCCAGCGCGCCTTGGTGGATTTGGGGCGGTTTTAGGCGGAGCCGGAGCATCCAGGTGAAGGGACACATGGGGTGTGTCAGGGTGTGTCCCAGTAACTGATCTAAAGAGGATCACAATGGCCGTTCCATCATGAAAGAAGCTTGATCAAGCACCATAGTGAAGATGATCGCCATTCTTGGGAAGGGCCTTTACTCACCATTATCCACTCTTACTGGTGGGACATACCCAAAGGGACATTTTGATGGCTGTTCATAGGATGCGAGGGAAAAAGGAAGGGTCCCTCTTCTCAAAAATTCCCTTGCACCGTAGTATGACACTGCATGGGCATACTATCGGGCATAATTGCCGAAACGATGATGGTTGGCACTAGGCCCATTTGAGCAGTGGGCCCAGCGGAGCTCTTACTGAGCTTCTTTGTGTCATCCTCAAGCAGGTACATGCGAAACTTGTCAAACAGCTGTAGAATGGATGGTACATATCAAACAGCTGTGGAATGGATGGTTGCTTCAAAACAATAAATAGAACCCAGACCTTTAGCCGAGATAGTCGTGTTTTAGAGGTTGACTTTGTGGAAGTATATGTGTATGATTGTGTATGCCTTTAACCGTTAACGTTGATAGTTCAACTCACAAGCTTTCAATCATCTCGAAAAAAGAAACAGCGAAAGACCAACAAATCAATAGCATCGAGTACGACTACGAATTGTTTTTGTCGGGCGAGCACGACGCGAACATGCTCCCTGTAACATGCGTGCAAAACAATGCTGGAGAGAACACACTTCATGTTGTCTTGAGGTAAATCATCACATGGAACACCAAACAAGTCATTCAATGATGGCTGACTGCAACGCTGTAATGATCCTTGCGTACCCCGAAAACCTTGCTAGGCAGAGGAAACTGAAGCAGAATCAATGACTGGGCTAGGTGTCACTTCTTTTTGCAAATGTGCCTTCTATGAACATATGAAACCAATTGTTTACCCCAGAGAGGTTCACAGAGAGGGAAGGCCTTGTGCCTGAGGCGATCTTGATCTGCTACAAGTCAGATATTTCCTTTGCCAATGATTTGTATGTTGATCAGAGCCCTAGCACAATCACACCCTTTGTGCTTCATGAAGTCTTATAGCCCTCTCAAGACTCTTGGCCCAAAAAGCCGAATGACGGCTTGTATACTTAGATCAGATCGGTTCTGGCCAACCCCTATCAACCACCACTTCGGATATGTTTGCCACGAGTCCTGCAAAAACGAACCTGGCTTTTCTGAGGAGAAGCTCACGCCGCGGAATCTGCGCGGCAAGAGCCACCAGCAACGCCGCGACGCGGAGTTGAAACGACTCAGCCCGATGAGTCTGCCGAGCCTTGACGGTGCTTTCAGCGTGCTGCGCTTGCTTTAAAGTTGGAGACCAACCCAGATGTTTGTTATTCCCACCTTTGGCTTTTGTTTTTGGGTCCCTCGAAACAATCTGAAGAGGGTATCCTATCCCGAAAATTTGCGAATCAAGAAAACATTGATTTCGATCAAGAACAACATTATCAAGACGTTCTGTGTGACTGATGGGGGGAGGTGCTGCGCCCTCCCTACCAAGCCCCCTCCCGCGTCAAGAAATCTGCAGATAGTATCCTGATTTCTGGCTTGCCATCAACTCTTATTTATTTTTAAAGCAAAACTCCGAACTTGCACTTGAAGACCTCGCGCACTTAAGACCTAGGCAAGACCACCGAACGGAGCGGTGGGGACCTCTTGCGGGCCACCGGCGGGTGGTTGTTTGAACCCAGCAAGGAGCTGTTCCAACCAATCCCGAGGAATACATCAGTATGTGCTCACCCGCTGTGTTCGGGCCCATTGAAAGACAGTGTTGGCCCTAGAGAGAAGAGTTTGTATTGCACAATGATATGCGTTGGGATTCTCGCGGGTTCGTCCAACGAATCAGAGGTCCCCTTCCGCCCGGGTTGTTCTGGCCCCATGACATTCCCTCACCACCTTAGACTGCTTAGACGGAGTTTTCTCAAGATCCCAGCTGGGTGAATGGGGTCAAAACGATGGAGCATCCAAGCAGAGGCACTGGAGGGAAGCCATGCCATTTTTCATTCTGAGGATTTTATTGTCCATGGCAGAGTGGTTTGGCATCAGAGACCACCTGGCTGTGCAGGAGATGTTTCAGGTAAAGGCCCTAGTGCACCGGACTCTCGACAAGCCTGAACACACCCACCGAAGACGCGAAAAGCATAGGAACCCAGATTCGCTTTTGCCAAAGGAACGTCCGTCCTTTGGAAAACGTGATGCTACTTGAGGTGCCATGTGGGTGCCGAACCCCGGAAAAACTGTTCCTAACCGGCGGCTAACCAATGTATGTAACTGCGTCAGCGATCCTTTCTTTTTCCAGATAGCCACCTTGTATTCCCAAGCACCTGTTTGGTTACATTTATTCTCCTGTTGTACTGCCAAAGTGGCCTTGGACAAGTTTGAGATCGCTTGCGTGTCATTTTGCTTTGATGATGACACCCATGTTTTGCCCACCATACAAGTGGAATAAGAGGTCTTTGTTTGTTGAGAAGGATTCTTTATCATAAAGGTGAAGATTCACGTGCGACTTGGCTTGCTCCCAGGAAGTGTATCCAAACCATACGAGGCCGGAACATGGACGGGAGAAAGTGTTTGGGGCAATCCATCCCATTTCAGAGTTGTCCGTCTTCAATTCATGCAAAGTGCTTGCCAGGCTCTTGGAGGTTTGAAGATTTCCATGTTCCCTACTTTGGTCTTTGGTGATTTACACAATTTCTAAGCTTTAATTGAATTGTGGCGTATGTCCAAGCAACGCTTCGCTTTTTTCAATCAACAGAGGATGCACAGCTCCAAACATCAAATATGAACGTAGACACTCATGGGTGAACTGCAGAACCCTACACTTCGTGTGTTTGATCGCAGTTTTTGGAGTTTCCCCATTATTCACAGGGTTCCACAGGGTTTTGGAGTATCCCTATAAATCCATCCATCCAAAAAGTGGGGCAGTTGCCACCCCCCCCCGGGGCGTCCCTTTCCCGCTCGCCGGTTTTGTCGGCGAAGAACACGGTTTGTTTATGTTTGTTTTGAGGCCACATGTGTGCACAGAGTGTGGAGAAGCGGGGCATTGTCATGCATTTGCACTGATTCAAACATTGATTTGATGTGATGTGATGTGATGTGATGTGATGTGATTGATTGATTGATTGATTGATTGATAGTGATTGAACAAGCAAATCACTGAAAGACTTTCAAGAGTTGCTCACTCCTGAAGATCACGGAGGGATCCACATTTCACGGGTGTCCGATAGAGTTGCTTTTCTTTCCACATTACTGGTAGGTCTTTTGATCATATACGAATCTCTCTCTCTCTCTATATAGAATCTAACAGACAGTGTTTCAGTGTTTCTGTGCTGTGTAGTGGCAGATCACAAAAAAGAAGTGATATCATCCGGAATGATGGTTTTCTGATTGTATAGAACAGGTGGTCTCCACCTCTGCATGTTGAACGACTTCAAATCATTTTCTGATTCTCCTTGTTTGCGAAATTCTCCGATCTTCGCCCTCTTCGCTGCTTCGGACCACCAGTGATGCTCCCTTCAAACATGTCATGCCACCCCGCAACAATTCTTGCATGACCACCTCGTTCTGTGGCCCCAGCCATGCAGTGCGGCTCGTATCTATTCCGCCGCCAAAACCACCCGGACCCGCCCCCGGCCCAACCCTCCGCAGACGGCGCGGCGCGATTCCGGCGAAGCGGCCAGGCCGCAGCCTGAAGCAACGGCTCCAAAGTCCCCCCCGCTCGCGGTCGAACTCTCCCACCCGCTCGCGCACGTCGCGGCCCAAGACGCCAGGGGTGAACGGAAGAAGTAGGAAGAACGGACACAGGGGACCACAGGGGACACAGGGCACAGGTGGAGGCGATGGCCAAAGTGACTTTAGTGTAGACCGTTGGAAGAGTTTTAACCATGTAAAAACACATCCGTTATGGAGATGTAAGACCACTTCATGTGGGAGGCTTCACATCAATCAACAGGGTGGGATTCCGTTCATGTTCGGAGCCCGGTCCCCCCCCCGGTGCCCCCAGCGGTCCTTGCGTGGCGTGCTCCCCGTGCTCGCAGGGGCAGCCCGGTGCGAAGGCTCCTGGAGATCGGAGAGCCGGTGGAGGCCGGTGGAGGGGCGGACTGGAGCCACGGAACGCAGGTGAGGGGAGATCCCCAAAGGGAACGAGTGGAGCCTGGCAGATCTTGGAGAGAGTCCCAAATGCTCCGCTTTCCAAGAAAAGACCCGACAACCAACGCACCGGTGGAACAACACTGACATGGGAGCTTTGTCCGTGCCCGATATCGCACTGTCGGCGCCTTATGGGGCGGGGGCGACCCACGCAAGCAACGAAAAAAGCAGCTCGAGAGAACCGACCGACCTTGTCTCGACCAATCCGAGACGTCGGTGGGAAACAAACAGACCGACCTTGTCACGGCCCCATTCGTGATATTGTGCCAGTGCGGCGGCGGCGGGCTGAAGGGTCCGCATCGTCCCCATATCTCTCTCCCCCGTTTCGTTGATCAAGCGAAAATGAGATATCTGGGTTGGTGAAATGAGTCCGGAAGGCTCTGGTGATTGCCTCTCCTCACTAGCTTTGCCTAAGGCAGAAAATCGAAGAGTTGGGAGCTTTGAAGGCTTAGTACCGGCTGCTTCAGCATTTATATGCCTTTATTATCAGCCAACATCAGCCAACTCCTCGGCTTGTCTTTTCAAGAGAGGGTGCCCCCGTTCAGATGGCCGGTTCTTTGAAAAACAAGTGTTTCCCACTCCGACACCCACGTGTCCCCACTACCCCCCGCGGCCGCAGCCGCAAACGCGCCTCGTACCAGGACCGTTTGGCCCCGCCGCCCTACGTCCCACCGACGGCCTCGCCCTCGACGACGGTGGCTGAAGCGAAAGAGGTGGAAGAACAAGACAGCGTGGCCCTGAGTGTCGGGATCAGAGATATCGACCAACCCATGACCAACATAGCAACCCACTTTGATGTAGGAAGATGACCACTTTGTAAACAGAACGGTAGGCCCTGGAAGTGCACTTTTTCACCTATTTTGAGTGATCTGGAGGTGCAGTTTTTTGTAATTTTCAAGGATCTACTGAGATTAATTCACAGCACCAGTACTGCCAAGGACATCTCAACTGCTGTACTCTGAAAAAATGCATAGGAATTTCACAAAAAAACAAACAAACCAATCCTAGAAGACTCTTTGGTGAGTAAACCAAAAAACAAAAAAGCAAAAACACAATCCTGACAGAGTCTTTGGACACCCTCCCCAGCCCAAGACCTCCCAGCATTATTATTTGGGTGTTTTTTTTGTTTACTCACCAAAGAGTCTTCTAGGATTGTTTTCTTTTTGTTCTTTTTGTTTTTGGACACCTACCCCAAGACAAGACTTCTGAAGAGTTGGTTATTTTTGCATCTTTTATTTCGTGCTTTGCTTTGATCTTTGGATTCTGAAGATCTCTTTGCCGCCTTTTTTTCCAAAAAATGTGGTGCATGAGTCTGCCCAAGCTAGCTCTTGCTTGAGCGCGTAAACTCTACTGAACCAAAAGTCGCAGTATAGCTTACCAGATTGACATTGCCTGGAATCGGAAAACAATAGACATGAATACCTGACACTCTGAACATATTAAGCATTGGCAAACAAATCAGAGGCAATGCAGAAGGAAGCCAAAAAATTAGCGAGGACGACGTCCTAACCTTAAGGCCGGTGCTCGCTGGCGCGCCAAGCGCGTACTCATGCGGCATATTCGCAGTCTGAAAGGCTTGGGCCGCTTTCAGGCGTCCAATTTGTGGCGGTATTACGCCGCCCGTTTTCCCACGTACCCGCGCGCGGAACACAACGGGTACGTGGACACCGGCCCGGGTGCTCGCTGTGGGCTCAGCTTTTTGTTCCCTGGCTGCATTCGTCGGCGCGCGGCGTCGCCGTCCTTCTTTTCGAAGTCTTTCATGCTTGCCGTCTGCCGACCCCCGCCCTATGTCTCGACACATGTTCCTCGACTATAGGAGAGGCTTTCCGCCGAAGCATGGTGTGCGTGCGACGGACAATATTCCACGCACTAAAAAATATTCCAGGGTACCATGTAGCCTATTGGAATAAATTTTCCTGGGTGGAGTATCATGCTGACAGACCATGGAAATCTGCTTGAATCTTCGACCTCTGGCATACCCCCTGAATATTTTTTAAAAAACTTTTGTAATATGTAGGCCAAGGACCCCCAGAATATTTGTTAATATGTAGAGAGATGTGGGGGGGGATGAATTCAAGAGAGAGTTTTGCAACAGATTTGCAATGACTTGCATATGTTGGAAGCAGATTGGAGTGTCATGGATTGTTGCCGGCGTAGCGCGGTTGGGGATCAAGCTGCGCTCAACAATCCTAACTCTCAGTCAAAAAATCGTGTGATGGCAATGGAACCGGACCCACCGGTTGCACCACGGGTGCCGGAGCACTGCCGTGTGATTTCTCTAAATTATTCCATATGTATGTTACCTCTGGAAGACTCACTGAATATTTTCTGCGGCAAGGCTTCAGCAAATAGATATAGCTTCTATAAAAATATAAATTATTCCAGGGGGGATCAATAAGCGTCAATTAAAATATTCCAAATGTCAAATGAAAATAGAATTATGATGGTGGTGGGTATGCAGAATATTTCTTTGATTATTCTGAGGGGGGTATCTACATGGGGGCCCATCTAAGGCATGGTATATGACGGACAGCCACACGGCGGAGTTCTTCTCCGCCCAGTGGCAATCGGTCCGGAAGGCGATGGAAGCCCATGCCGTCTTGAAAGTTCAGCCAGCAAGCAGACTCTCCGGAGGTCGTCTCCGCCAAGGCACGTGGGCTGTGGCATGCGCGCTGCGCGTTCGCCCTTGTGGCCGCCTCGCCCGCTCGCGCTGCTTGCCAGGCCACCGTGCGCTGTTTGGTCGCCACCTTAGATGGTGCGACCTTCGTGGGTTGCGAGTTCAGCAAAGTGTGTCCTGGATGCTGACTCGCAACCGCATATACATCCGGGGCCACTGGGACACCGCGTGCTCTCTCTCTCTCCCTCTCTCCCTCTCTGTCTCTCTTTCTCTCTTTCTCTCTCTTTCTCTCTCTTTCTCTCTCTTTCTCTCTCTCTCTCTCGCTTTCTCTCTTTCGCTCGCTTTTTCTTTCTTTCTTTCTTTTATTTTCTTTTCTTTTCTTTTCCTTCTCTTCTTTTCTTTTCCTTCCTTTCTTTTCTTTTCTTTTCCTTTTTTTTCTGGCTTTTCTTTCTTTCTTTGTTTTCCTCTCTCTCTCTCTCTCTCTCGCTCTCTCTTAGCTACACCTGTCCAGGATGCAGCTCTACCATCGGTGGCTTCAGAGGCGCGTCGGGGTCTGGCGGCTGGTTTTCCGACCATGGTCCTTTTCGGTCGCGCTCGATCATTTTTCAGTGTTTTCCTTCCGTGCCTTTCCTCCCAACAGCGTTGTCGTCCGTTGCTTCATGCGTGACACAAACTTCCACCCAACCAGAATCCACAAGTGCAGGACGAAGATTCAGTACCAAGGCGTTGTTAGCCATGTCAGTTCTTGCTTGTCGCTGGATTCGCGCGATATGCGCCTATGTAGACATCATGCTACAAGCCATTTACAAGTCATACAGATCAATACCAAGCAGCTAAGCAGTGTCCGTGGTGGACTTCCCCTAGCTTCTCATGGTGCGCAAGTTGGTGTTTGTTTCGAACGTATCATCGCAAGTCTCAGCTTCGATGTTTTTGATACACGTTTCCTGAGTGTATTTTTTCTTAGCGCTTGAAACGCGTTATATAGAGCTTAGGTCTGGTATCGAGGTCTGGAGACGTCGACACCCAGGAAAAATGTCAGCATGAGAACAGATGGTTAACACCCCGGAAATATACATTTTTCATATTTGTTCTTGGTGTTTGAGGTCTTGCTTTCCAAGTCCAGTGTTGCGCAAAACCAGTTTGTGCAGTTGCCTTATCTCTCTCTCTCTCTCTCTCTCCCCATGTTTGCAGAATTAGCTAGTTTAGCTGCTCGAACTTGTCATCATTGATACACACGCGCTGTTTTTTTCAATATTGGGTTAAAAGGCCATACCTTTTTCCTATACGTCAGGAACATGTTATTATTATGATTTTTTCGTTTCCAACCTGAGTCACAGGATTCCACAAAAACGAAAAAGCACAGCGCATTGGAAATACCTGGAATATCTTCGAGAGAGGAGACTTTGCAAGACCAGAGAGGGGACTTTGCTTGAGTGCGTTTGGGAGGGCAGTGGAGGGACCAGCTAAGGTAGATACCCAGGATTTAATTAAGGATTTGATCAGCCCGGGCTCCTTTTTTTTTCCTTGGTTCCCAACCGTCTGACACACCTTGGTCCAAAGGACTTTTCTAAACGCAACTTTTGAGAAAAAAACCTAGGGCACCACTGAAAAACTAGAAAGCCACCTCGGTTCTGTAGGATTTTAATATATAATGTATACGTAAAATTATGGGTATCTACCTTAGCTGTCGGTACCAAGGGGGATTGTGTTGTTGTGGGCCCTGAACATTAGGAAACTATAAAGAGCACTTGGCTCATCCAAACACCTTAGCTCCATAACAATTCGGAGCCTCAGACACCAAGAGTTAATAGCCACCAGAGCCGCAGACGCCCTGGACTTTATACATACAGTCCTGGTGCAGGCGTCCGGGTGTCCAAGCAACGTGGATGTTTTTGCGCGTGATGGATACTTCGCCATTGACATCCTTGCCGGAGACATGTTGGATTTGATCTTCCACGATGTCACGATGCACGCCTCGCCAGAGGCCGCAGCCACCTAATTCTTGAGAGCCAGGCAAAAGAGCTGCTTTGAGTTTGGAAGATTTTAAGGCTTGTCCATGGATGGGGATGATAAGGTTCATGATTCATGCTGATGATGTTGTCGGTTTCATGGGTTAGACTCGGGGCTGGGCCTTTCTATCAGCTGTGGCAGTGCACCTCGCGGCGCGGCGTCAGAGGATCACTGGAGGCCCTATTGACCATGTCGTGCGCTGTTGTTGTTGTTGTTGTCGTTGTTCACGGTGAGGTTTTCAGCGGCGCATAAATTTTTCCATGCCGAAACATAGGGTTTCGAACACATCCACATGCTTCTGTCGCGTGTGCCCGAAAATTATAGCAACATATTTTTTCAGCAGCTTGCGTACATGCCTCACATAAATCTCATCATTGCGAGACTTTGCGCAACATAGTTGAAATTTGTTCGCGCAACTTGATGCTTAAGGTACACATTCAAAATTAGTGTGCAACTTTCTCACCTGTGTCCCTGCGAACATGGACTATCCAAGCTGAGCACAATTAACTATTGAACCCTTCGGAGAACCTCCCGTCTCTACCGTCACATGTATCATCTTCCCATCGAAGATCATAGAGGCTCCTTATCAGGCATCATACGCTCGCATCTGTGTGCATTCCTTTTTCTTCACCAAATTGGTGTCACTTGACCCGTCCGGGCCTCCGAGGTGAAGCCATCGGCCCCGTGGTGCGTCGGCGGAGTCAACACTTGAGCCACACGGTCAGTGGGAGTCTCAGGTCATGGGCGGGCTGGGTCATGTTGGACGTTCTTCCAAAGCATTCAGCATTTTTCTGCATGGGATGTTGTTAATGGAGGGGGAAACAGGAAACATGCTCAAAACCTTTGACTTTGTTAGGACATGCTAGGACAGTTTGATAGTCAGTCTTTTTGGGGTTGGGATTATACTATACTCAGTATTACTCAGTAAAAAATATGTCGAACTCAAAATTGCAATTTTGGGTCCATTGCTGCTTGTTTTAGTGCCCGATGTCCACGAACACGTGGGTCTCCAAACGCGCTCTCTCCCCCTGGCCTGCGGTGTTACGTCCATTGGCAATGGATACGTCACTTCATCCGGCAAACAAGGTTGCACCGCGTGACCGGGTGAGGCCCAGAGAATCACACACATACAATGATATATCGTTCAGTTCCATGGGGTCTCCAGAGACGGAACAGATTGCCTGCCACGGCGTTGGGGTTTGCCTGCCGGGCCGGCTCGATGCAAACCGTGCACTGGGGCGCATCTCCAGGTGGCAGAGCTTCCGTCCATGACAACCAGCCACCAGACACCAAGGGCATCGACCGAAGGGGTCCAAACGTGGCATCGATGGTGTGGACCGCAGTTTTTGGGGCTAGACCAGCGGCGGAGGGCCTCAGCTCCAAGAAACAACAGAGCTTTGCTTGGCACTGCGAAGGAGCACCTAGACTCTGCCGTGGACTCTAGCTCAGCACTTCACGCGAAGTGGAAAGGCTGCTGTGGTCCTTTTCTCCGCGAAAGAAGCCGACAAAGCAGCCTTTGTCCCGCTGGCGCCCCTCATGCCGAAAGATGCCGGGAGGGACAAGGACACCGACCAGGAAGAACCAGGTTCCGTGGAGGCCCTGCCTGCGAGTGGGACCACCTGGCACATGAAGCATCCGTGTAGCGAGGAATCGGTCGTTTGGACGACGAATGACGAATCGGTCTGTTTTGGTGATATATCATATCTGGGTGGACAAGTTCTGCATCAGAGTGCTCAAGGATGCGCAGTGAAACGGGATCAACTGGTCTCAAACGGAACATAGTCCCTAGAAGTCCAAAGACCAATTTTTGGACCCTTTGAGGTGAAGGAAGTTCCTTGTCGAGTCATCCAAAGACGGTTCTTGTTGTGGTCTTTGACTCCCAGGGATACAGTAGTAATCTTTCAATTTCAAGGATTGTGTCAGGTCCTCAAGAGTGAGTGGAATCCGGACACGTGGGACGCGAAGCAAGGCTGACGGATCCGCTTTTTTTCGGCTTCAAATCTGATGCTGTCGCCCAGGGTCTTTGAGTGCTCATTGCCAACAGAGTCCCTGTTTTAGCAATTCCCAAGTTGGAAACTAGTGCAACATCTGCTGGACGGCTGAAGATCACAACAGTTGATGATCAACATCCTGTGCAGCTGGCCACTTCCTTGCCAAATCTTCAGCATCTTTTCCAAGAGCCTAGACGTGGCTAGACATCAAAATGCAATCAGTGTCTGGCCAATGGGAAGTGTCTGGGGGCTCCCGTTCCTGGTGAGGTTCAAATCCATATGACCTTTTGAGCACCAACATAGACTTAAGACTTACATGGTATATGATATGATGGTCATGAGGCTCATAGCATGTGTTTGTACATGTACATGATGGATTTCCTAATAGATGAACTTCTGAAAGACTCCTGTCCTGATACATCCAAATACCAAAAGTCGTAGATTTGCCCCCTCAAAGGGACCAATCGCCGGGTTCCAACGGTTCCAACGGCGACGGTTCAGGTGGGTGGAAGCCCCCACAAGTGAACGACCGAGGTGCTGGGAGCCTCCAACCCAGCGGCAGTGCGCAGCAGCTGCTTTTGTCGCGGCCCTGCGCCAGTGGGGTGCCTCAGGGTGAGGTTGGCTCGGACTACTGTAACCAAACATCCGATCATCCATTAACACACTGACAGCGAACTGGAATTCCAGGACCATTTGTGCACTATAGTCACTCAGAGAGATATCAAATGCAAACATGAGGGGATGACCAAGTTTGTCCTAGCCTGCAGTTGGGACATTTTTGGTTCTCAGTGCCCATTCGCTTCCTGAAAACACCCACTATTGATCATATGTCTTAAACAAGTTTGGCATATGCAGAATGTTCTAGGGAAGGACAGACAGAGTCCTGATGTGGGTTTGTTGTTTTTTTGTCAAAGTGTGCCCAAGAAACAGTTTTTGGGATGGATCGCTTTCTATGTGAGTTTTTGGGAGGGTTTGAGACTCGGCTGGCCAGCAGCTAGATCGAAGGGGCTTTACAAAAAGATGGATCTACGATATTTCTGAGTAGTCAGTCTGGGCTGAGGCAACTTCTTTGGAGCCTCTGCATAGCTTAGGCATTAGCTTATGACCCTTGCGCAGCAGCAAACAGACGTACAACCAGGTCCACATTATAGGGTTTCAAGCAATAGTGGCGTTTCTGCCGGTGCTCCAGAACCAAAGAGTTCAGGACTTTCCACACTCTTCCCACGCGGCGTACCTCGGAGCTCACTCATTCACCTTGCTTCCTCTCCGGTGCTGCGGCCGAACGCCGCGGCGGCCGGTGCCGTGGCACTCCGGGCCGCGGCCGTCTGAGGTCGTCCCTTGATCCGGTCGCCCTCAGCACCTCCCGTCGTGTACACGACTCTACGGAGTGTGGCAGGCGGGACGACGAACGACCCTTCGAACGGCTCGGCTTCGGCGTCGCGTGGTGGAACGGTGAACCGTCGGTCTGAGAGGTGAGAGAACGACCCCCGGCCTTCGGGCGAATCGGGTCGATGATTCTCCGAGACGGTCGACGACCTGGAGGTGAAGTTACATGGTGGAACGGGGGCTCCAGGTTTTGACCCAGCCCTGCTTGATTTCATCCCGAGAAACAGGTGGAACGGGGCTGGAAGCCTGCGAGAGAGCCATGTCAATGTGCACGTTCAGGAAGTATTTGGTATGAGTGTGGTAGTGATCCTTCCACTTGGGAAAGGTACCACCTCACTTTTCATTTGCTTTGTCCCTTGGCCAGAAAGCTTGCCCAACACATCCTACAATAGGAGCATTTTCCGGCCCATCTTCGTCCATATCAAACATTCATCAGAATTCCATCAACTTCCCATCTCCATATGAACTTCTCGCATCTTTTTCACATCCAGTGGGCTTCTTGACCAGTTTTTCGGTTTTCCCACGTCTTCATGGCCCATTCGGCCCTCTGTGCGCTCCGCTCTCCATCCAGGAGCTCCCTCCACGCCCCTCACGCTGGCGGCTCCTCCGGTGACGGTCGCCGCGCCGATCGTGCGGCAGGCGACGGAGCGGGCGGGTCACCGGGATCGTGTGGCGGTAGGTGCAAACTGGACTCGGTCCAACATGGTCCGGTCCAACAAACTACCAACAGAGGTTGAATGACCCTATAGGCTATATGGGATACCCCAGTAGGGTCCTATAAGGTCACTTAACCTCTCTTGGTAGCGAAGAGGGCCAGGGCCAAAGGGTTGGGGTGACGTCCATAGACCAGCGCAATCGGAGGCCGGCAATGGGGGTCAGCAGGGGGGATGGTAGAAGGGGGATGGTACGGATACGGTCACCCGAGCTTAGCGGGCTCCACATCAGATATGCCCATTGGTACAAGGAAGACTCGAGCAAAACATAGCAAAACCTGCGGCAAAACCTGTGGTCTTTCCGATGAAGACTTGAGTCACCCACATTGGATGAATCACCGGGCTCACCAAGCGTTCCAAACCGCCGGAGCGGTTGCGCTCCCCGACTCATTCAGGCGGAGTGAGGAGGATCCCCCGGGGTGAGGCATCCCCAAAAAGGATTCTTTATCAACAAACCAGATCAACATGCCTGGACCTGAAAAAAGAAGGTGTCGAATGGACATGCCGGATAGTAAGTACTCTAGGGGCTTTGATTGGTGACCCCTTTGAAGGTGCTGGTGGGTTTGTAGGAACACCGACACACCCGCGCCAAGCGCGGGTGGGTGTTGCCCCACCCCTTGGCTCCGACCTCCGTCCATGCCCTGAAGTTGAACGAACGAACTCCAAAACGAACCGGGCATCGAAGTGCGGATAGAAAAGCCGCGGTGCGGCGCATGAGGTGAGCTTGGGGAGGAAAGAGCCACTGGGCGAAAAATGGCGGCAAGTCCTGTTTTCTTTGCAGGAAATCGTTTTGTCACCAACTTCTAGGGAACAAGGGGATTTGCGTTCTCTTCTGAGGGAGTCACACGTGTCGTCATAGCCAAGGCTGTGGGTCAATTGCTCCGCGGGCAGTTGTTTGATATATAATTGCACCACAGCAAGCTTCGTGTGATGGACAGCCGAGTGTCGGAAGCACAGCATTCCAAGTGTCAGCAAATGAGTTGACTTTGGATGACCGTCTTTTAACCATTGTTGCTCCTTTTCAGCATGTGTTGTTTTTGGATGTTTTTGTTGGTGTATCTTGAGGGGATTTTCTCTTGCGCAAAGAACACACAGAAAGCATGGTTTGTTCCTCTCAGGGCTTCTTTGGAGTCTCCGGCAGCTCGTTTTTGTAGGTATTGAGTAATTGGCCTCCGCCCAGGGAGTCGAGAGCGAACGAGCACCCTTTGGTCGTAAGTAAACGAGTTGCAAAGTGGGGAGCACTTTGGGAAGGGAGTGGTAGAACAAGACATGACATGGCGAAGAGAACCCCAACAACACTCTGCTAGAGTCTAGCCCTCACAAGAGGAGATATCAATCGTGAGAAACAAACGCCTGCTCCTACTAAGTAGCGAATTTCCTACTTATAGTAGAAATGCCCCTGGTTCCGTTCGTAGCGATGCCCTTGTAGCTCCGTTCGTCGCCGAACAAACATGAGCTACCTTGGGCTTGGACCTGCTCTCCTGGCACCATTTTCGTAGTTCCCCAAATCGATGACCGAGGCACCAGGCGAACCCTGCGATACCATTGAGTTCGGTGGGGGTTCTATGAACTATCGATAGAAGTTGGGGATGTCATTTTGAGTTGGTTCACCAGTCATGCTACAAATTCTGGAACCCATCCAAGTCGTTCGGTCCTGGTTTCGCATGTCCTTATGCGGTGGGTTTTCGCTGGTTTGGAAGAAGTCTTCTCTTCGCTGGCTTTCGCTCGGCTCAGTGGGATGAACATCCGTTCTCCCACAATTCTCCCCTTTGTTTTGATTTGCGGTTCGATCTGTTTCAACTTGGAGACAAACCCTGGCTATGGGCCCCAAAGCCTTTCCAAACAAGAGTTGGGAAGTGGGAATGAGTTTGGCATTGTATGCTGGCACTACACTGCATTCCTCCTAGGATGCTTTTGCAGGAAACCCCTCCTTTTTTGGTTGTGGCTGTTTGGAGGGCTCTATGAATGTGTCCTTTATACCCAAACGCTCCAAACAGCCCTTGGTCCCTCAAAACCCCAGGGATTTGAGGGTCCGCACCCCTCCAGAGGATTCGGGTCCGATCCCTCCGTGCGAGGGTCCAGGAGCGTCTTGTAGGTCCGCAGGGTCCGCAGGGTCCGCAGTGCCACCGTCTACGAGGTTGAGCCCTCGGGTTCGCTGGGAATCGGATGGCAGGGGAGCTGAGCGGGGTGGTGTGCTGGAGCTGCCTCAGGCAGTCCAGCTTCATGGAAGTGGACCCATCCCGTTCCAGATGCATGCCAAACAAATGGACTTACACTCTGACTGACTACCATGGAAGTGGACAATCCTTTGTTTGTAAAGGAAAGTCGTCTTCCAAGGTGTTCGTCAGAGTGTCATTGACAGTGGAAGAGTCGAACCCGCGCGAACGAAGACGTCGTCTCCTCCGCGAACCCCAAAAAAGCATGTGGAGAGACATCGGAGAGACGGCGATCAACGGATCAACCTGATTGGTGGAGTCGGGACTCCATACTCCCATAGAAGTGGTCCGGTGGTTGCCAACAAGGATTGACTGGGAATGAAAGGACATCAACTTCACCCACTTCCGCCCATGATCCAAAGTCCCCAGATTCGCGTCCTTATCTCTTTCCAGTGGACTAAAGCTGAAGCCCAAGAGGATTCACTAGGACTACACCTCCTTCACTCCTTCAGTACGGCCCGCTGTAATTCTCCAGTTTCCGTGCATTTTTCACTTCTGAGTGTGCCGACGGGGCACCACTTCCACCGTTTTTGAGCGTTTTCCGGACACCCACCACGCAGGTCCCACGCCGAAAGCGCCGGTGCCCTCGACGGGCTCCTTGCGGAGGCGGTGTTCGATCGACCGGTGTGTCGGCTCGTGTGGAACATGCACAGGTGGCGACGGCACCTGGTGTGCAGTGGACAATGACCATTTTTGTCCACACCCTTTTCCCTACAAAAAGTCGTGCATCGAAGCGACTGTTCGGCAGAACACGGAGCGAGCCAAGCATGGAACAGCTGAAACTTGACAGATTGTGAGTAACCAGTCACTGTAGTTCACCTACCAAAAACAAAGCTGACTACTAATGCAGAAATCCATAACTCCCTTATGATTATTGCGTTTGGGTTGGTATCCATTTTCTAATTCTTGCTTGGAAAGACCAATCGTTCCAAGCACCCTTCAACCTGCTTAGCGTTCCGTGGGTGTGAGGCTTGAACCCTTCTGGCCAGAAATGCCGATCGTGGAGTATCTAAGTGAAGGTCCAACACCGGCCATGGCAGTGCACCGTCCCAACAAACCAAGACAGATACTGACAGCCAGATTGTCCTCCAATCATGTTCCAACGAAGCTCAGCAGTCGTTTCCAGCGGTCGTTTCTTTGCACTTGAGAAGTCCAAACAGCATACAACTTGCCATCCTTTTTGGACGCTTGCTTTTGGGTCTCCTATGGTCACTGCCGACTTTGAGGGCGTCCACTGTACTGTAGTCACTATTAGACTCTTAAAGAGAATCATATCATAAAACCCAGGTGGACGATCCTTATTTCAACCTATCTCCCAGCTTCTTCTAGATACATGAGACGTGCCATGGATCCCCAGACAAGTGGATTGGCTGCCACCCGTTGGCCCATTGGCTTCAGCGAAGAGTAGTTTTGTTGCTCCAGCTTTTTGGGAAGATTCGGCTGCCAGTCTATAAACCTAATTCCTATATCATTTATCATTGTTTTGGCAGCTCCCATTATTTTCATGTTTATCGGACGCTTCCCAAGCATCAGTGGTGTCGATGTCTTTTTTTTGCAAAGCAATCTGGTTGACCTCAGACATGAATTCGACGCCATCCTTGTGATGTGCCACAACTGTAAGACCATCCCTTCGCGGCTGCCCACCCCCATGCCGCAGACCGTGAAGCCTAGAAGCTATACTAGTAGCGAAGTGCATCGCTACTAGTAACAAGTGCATCGCTATTACCCATGCACTCCATGGGACTGCCATATATGATCATATATGCCGCCCCATTGACCCCCCTGGCACCACCACCCCTGGCTTCTCGGCAGTCCGGACTGGCAGTCCCAGACTCGTCGTGTATGGGTTATATTAGTAGCTCATTTGCTCCTCGCTGATCTTCGATTCGATCGCCCGGGCCCTTCTTCCGAAGGATCACGCGGGTTTCTTCGCCTTCCCGTCCCCTTGACAGATCCGACGTCCCCAGCGAGAGAGACAACACACCGGTGGTCGCGATGCTGCAGGTCGACGACCTTACAGATGCCTGCGGGGGAGCCCTGACAACGAAAGCTGGGAAAGGGTTCGGTTCGTGTCGAAGCGAAGCCCACCGGATTGGTGGATTGGTTTGTTGCTGTTTTGACATGTTTTGACATGTTTTGACGCTTGTTGGGAAGTGCCGACCATTTCATTCATTTTCAAGCTATGCTAGCTCTGCGTTCGCCCGGGTGCACCGGCCCTCCATGTAGACACTGACACCGGAGGCGAACGCCGCGAGGATGGACGTGCGCGTCCCGGCCGGCCGGCCGCTGAAACGTTGAACGCTTGACCGTGGTAGGAACTGGGCCGTTACGCACGCATCACCAGGTGGGAACTTTGGAACCACAAGTTGGTGTACCAAAGTAGGGAGATCCGGGCCAAGGGGTTTGAGGTCCATCTTCCTTTCAGAGGGGTCTTGCACTCTGAGGGAGACCCCTATTCTGATACACCATGAATCGATCCACCGACCGAGGCCACGGTGCGGGTCTCGTCCACGCCGTGCCTCACGAAGGCACGCGGGGGGGAGATGGACGTGGCCGTGGCACATCATGGACGTGGCACATGATGGCACCCTGGTTGACCCAAGTTGACCCAGTTTTGAGCCGATTCCTCCGAAAACAGAGGCGTGTCAACCTATCCATGGTTTGGTGCCATGATTTGCCATGCACAACCGTAGGTTTACGTTGCCGAAGCCGGTTGTTCAACAGCCCAGCTGGAGCGCCCATGAAACGAGCACCGCTCCTTTACTCAAAGGGCATGGTCGCCACCCAAGCGTTGGGTTTTGCTGTAAGAGCTTTTGTTGTTTGCTCGTCATTTGTTTCTGCAGGAGTGGTCATAACTTGAAGGTGTTGCGATGAGCATCACAGACAGGCCTTCTTGCCTCAAAGCCACTGCTTCAGCCGAGAGGAATGGATGAAGCATCAGTGAGACTCAATTTGACCTCTCCCTCATAAGCCTTATGACCCGCTGTTCGGGGGAAGCTGGCTGCTTGGAAAAGCGCGGTATTTTCCAAGTGTTGGAGCTAGCAGGCTGTAACAGGCCGTTAGGCCCATGACCAACATGGGATTTCTGATCACCTTCGGTTGGAGATGCCAATTCAACTTAGTACAGCTAAGGTGCAGTGCCCTCCTAGAAAGAACACTGCATCCCGCATCATTTGTAATGATTTGTTCAGTTCAAACCATTCCAACATATCCCAAATTTGGGGTCGATTGGGAGTCGACTGGTTTCTTCCTTCCTCTCCCTTCCTTCCTTTATCATCCAGATGAAGCATCAACTTCCGCCAGGCGCAGTCGCTGCCAACCACGCCACTCTTGCCAGGGAGCCCAGGTCCTTCGCTTCCGCACGGAGAAAATCGTCCTTCGGTGCAGCCCAAGGCCAGTTCAACGAACGAAATCCTACGTCAATCAATGCGAAACAGGCTGAGATAGTGGAGACCTTCCCCCAGGTGTTGGACCTCTGTCTCGGGAAGGATTCAGCGCCACCAAAGGTCGACAATTTGATGACCGAATTTCTGGGTACCACACCCCCCAAGAAACCTTTGTGTCGGACCACAGACATGTCAATTTGGCAGCCACTCCAGAAAAGAGCTTTCGTATGGGTACACAGCGAAATGTTCATTTGGCTTGCACGGGCCAAAGGCACCATGTGTATGCATGTGTAGCGAAAATCAAGGCAACATCCATGACTTCACGCCATCCAGAAGGACCCTTTGCGTGGAGAAATATTTGAGCCCCACACGGTGCCACCACTCTAATAGCGATGGCCTCCACTCTAAGAGCGATGGCCTGAGAGCGATGGCCTCCACCCTAAGAGTGATGGCCTCCGCCTCCATCCTAAGAGCGAGGCGCGCCTAAATCCACTGCTAGACGGATTTCCAAAGATTGCTTCCCCCCTCCGACCAGCAATTTCGCCGGTCGCAGGCCAGTCACCCTGAACTCGATCTCCCCCTCTGGAAGCGCCTCCAACTCCCCGCGCTTCTTCGTGTCAGGCGCGTTGGAGTGAGGGCAGTTGTGGAGTGAGGGGAGTTGTGGAGTGGTTGTTCCGGGGTGGATGCACTCATGAGGTTGGATGTGCCCATTGCCATATGAGGTAATACAAGAAGTCATGGGATGCATCTACCCAGGCCCTATAGAATGCTTCATGATTTATTTTATGATTGTGTTTTGCCTTGGCAGAGCCTCAGATGTGGACGAGCTACTTTTCAAATTGATAATGGTGTTTCTTTATGAATGACCTTCTGGACACGCGCCCCAAATGCTTGGTGACGCAAAGGACCTGAACCATTTTTTTCACAGGGCGCAACTTCTACAAGCATCATCATCCGCTTAAACTTTGGATTTGCGCGAACTATCCAGTTCTGAAGAAACTGATCGACACCTATGTGATTTCTCCAGACATTGTCCATGAGTTCTTGGGAACCCTATTGCTAGTGGCCCCCCCCTCATTCCTACCTCCAAGACAAAGCACACTCACAGAGCATAGCTGATGAAGCATTCCCCCCAAACTCAGGAACTCATAGCCATTTCAAGCGCCAGGTCCCAAAGCTCACGCTTCTTTCCGGCCCAGCATATAGAAGAGAGTGCGAGAGTGCGAGCCTGAATTGGTGGAGAACCGATGCCCACGGGGTCACTCCAATCACCTAGGTCGCCCGAAATCTCTTGATCACTCCCTCCATCCACTGCTTTCCCAGTGGAAATCCACTGTCAGACCTGCCAAATGTAGACGGTTTGAGGGCACCCAATCAACGTTTATATAACCGGTTCCCCTTAGCACAGAACAAGAATATCATATGGTCTCCACAGTGGTCCTCCACCATGGTCTCAACCTACTTTTAATTCATTGCACGTTTCTGCTTTTCTTTGTCTACACCGCTTCGCCCATCAGGCAGCACGCCGATGAACTACCGCCCGCCGGTCACGACCGTCGGACCTGTGATGCCGCTCTCCGGGGTGACGGGAACACCAGCCGCGGGCCCCAGAAGAGACTGGAGACATGAGAAGATGCGAAGGTCACCAGCTAGCCGCATGGGGTTCTTACTTCAAATATTTTCAACTATAGAGTGCTTGAATGTTGGATCTTGAATAATTAATTAATTCCACCAGCAAAAAACAACTGAGGGAAAGTGAATAGAGTCACTCCACCAAAATATAGATCTCGTAGTCGTAGATCAGGAGCAGCAGCAGCAGGAGGAGGAGGAGTAGTAGTGTAGTAGTAGCAGCAGCAGTGGTGGTGGTGGTGGTGGT